TTTAGAGATTCCATCAGCTTTTTGATCCTGTGACTCGCAGAAAAATAGTAAAAATTTCATGGATATGCTAACTTTTGTTTAGAATGCTTCGGTTTTGGCGGTTTATGAATAGAGCTCAACCAAATCAACTTTGAAAAATTTTGTTTTGATTGGTCAAGTAATTGTCATTGCATTAAAAAAAAAGTCTGTAAAAATCAGCTCTTTTTATTCTGGGTAGTGAAGGAATTGAAAATTCAGAATCCGAAAAAGCAGAACTTTTGAGTGAAAAAAAAGTATATTGCGGTAATCCATAAATCAAGTACTTTTTTGTCATTGATATATGGAGGTTTACAAATACCATAATTTACTGGCCCTGGAATTAGTCTTCGCTTGTTTGCATCTAAGCCTTGATGATTTTTGCAAAATGCCGGAGTGCTTTGCCGTCTTGCAACCTTTCGAGAAGGGTACGCACTCTGTGTAACATCGAATTTAGCTCGTATACCGACAGTCCTGTCAATTTTTTAACAAGTTTCTCTCGATCTACTTTGTACCGGATGTAATTTGAGATCACAAACTTCCTGGAGTATTGCAGTTTGCAGGGGTTTTTTTTCGCGATCTTCGTTCAGCTTGTGATTTTTAACCTTTTTTGCATGGTACCGCTCTTTGTCAGCTTGTATCTGTTATTCTGAAGAAGTCTGTTCTGATTCATTTCAGTTATTATTCTTCAGTCGCCTTTATGTTTGCAGTTGCAGGCTTGTTTTCCTATCCTGTTATTTCTGGGGTAAAATCGCTTTCTAATTTCTGGTGGCTGTTCTAGCGTAGATGGTAAAGTGGTACTTCTCACTATCTGAATTATTTATCCCGTCTTCGGTATGAGAAAAGGTATTCCCTCTCCAGTTCATGATTTATGATTCAGCTGCCCCAAGGATCAGGGAATTTTGCTTTCAAGTATAACTCTTTGGAAGAAAGAATCGGTAGATGGTTTTTTTTTTTTCACGAAGCGTTACGATTCGGACTATTTCCGATTGGGACAGTCGCTCATTACTAGTCGAAATCACCTGCACTTCCTTTTAAGCGATAGAATCTTTCGGAACTAACTGGAACGGTAGCACACTTGTCAGCAGCTCTGTTCTGCCAGCAAGGCTGTCGATGGTTCCCTCTTTTGATGGGCAGGTCGTTGAGGGATTGGTTATCAGATTAGTGAACCAAATCCTGGACTTTCCGCAGTGACAAAATGCTAATTCCCATTTTGCCGGAGAACAAAATTTGGAGGCATCTCGACTTTTGTCTATAACGTCTTGTGCAATAAGGAATTTGTCTTTAAAAGATTTTGAATGTAAAGATTTGCTAGAGATTTAAGACAATCACTTACAAAAACAGCCTGCAATTTGCGGCTCTTTTGCTCATGTTTATCGCTATTTGATGGTAATTCATAGCTGCTGCTACTACTACTACTACTACTTCAGGCATCTTGCGCCTTTTTCCGGCCTCGATTTGTGTGTATTCCTCTTTCTTCTCTCTGTTGCCAACTGTGATCAGCCTATGTTAGTGTTAGCTTGGCTTATCAACTGCATACGCCTGTATAGTGTGTTATGTTGCAATCTGTGATCTATACAAATCAAAGAGTAAATACGATTCGTTTTTGCTCAACTTTTGCCCACGCACTGTATTTCATGGCACACTTGTCGTTATTGCGCGACTGAGTGTGAATTCAAGATCTGGATCGTTGCCAGCGCGAAATTTCGCAGTGTTTCTCCGAATTTGAAGCAATTCGTGAATTAATATTTATAGATGAATTTCTCGATCATTTAGTAAGGCAACAGATCTTATCATTTGGACTAATGCCAAAGGCTATACAACGATGAATAAACAGTAGTAGTTCAATATGAGTACTTATTTGGAATCATTTCTGCAACATGAGATAAAAATCGTTTCAAAAAAAAACAACACATATATAGAGCAGTTTTGACAATACTAATAAAAAAAAACAACGCTG